GATAAGTAATGTTGATTTGGGGAGGCAAGAATTTGGGGATGTAGCAAGGGTATGTAAGAATTTTGGGAGTGGAGGGATTTGGGGATGTAGCGATTTGGGGATGTACTGATTTTGGGATGTAGGAATTTGGGGATATACCGATTTGGGTATGTAAGAATTTAGAAGTGGAGGGATTTGAGGACGTAGCGATTTGGGGACATAGTGATTTAGGGGCATAGCGATTTGGGGATATAGGAATTTGGGAGTGGAGGAATTTGGGAAAGTAGCGATTTAGGGACGTAGCGATTTGGGGGCGTAGCGATTTGGGGATGTAGGAATTTGGGAGTGGAGAGATTTGGGAAAGTAGCGATTTGGGGACGTAGCGATTTGGGGGCGTAGCGATTTGGGGATGTAGGAATTTGGGAGTGGAGAGATTTGGGAAAGTAGCGATTTGGGGACGTAGCGATTTGGGGGCGTAGCGATTTGGGGATGTAGGAATTTGGGAGTGGAGAGATTTGGGAAAGTAGCGATTTGGGGACGTAGCGATTTGGGGGCGTAGCGATTTGGGGATGTAGGAATTTGGGAGTGGAGAGATTTGGGAAAGTAGCGATTTGGGGACGTAGCGATTTGGGGGCGTAGCGATTTGGGGATGTAGGAATTTGGGAGTGGAGAGATTTGGGAATTGGAGACGTAGCGATTTGGGGGCGTAGCGATTTGGGGACGTAGTGATTTGGGAGCGTAGCGATTTGGGGACGTAGTGATTTGGGAGCGTAGCGATTTGGGGACGTAGTGATTTGGGAGCGTAGCGATTTGGGGACGTAGTGATTTGGGAGCGTAGCGATTTGGGGACGTAGTGATTTGGGAGCGTAGCGATTTGGGGACGTAGTGATTTGGGAGCGTAGCGATTTGGGGACGTAGTGATTTGGGAGCGTAGCGATTTGGGGACGTAGTGATTTGGGAGCGTAGCGATTTGGGGACGTAGTGATTTGGGAGCGTAGCGATTTGGGGACGTAGTGATTTGGGAGCGTAGCGATTTGGGGACGTAGTGATTTGGGAGCGTAGCGATTTGGGGACGTAGTGATTTGGGAGCGTAGCGATTTGGGGATATACCGATTTGGGGATATACCGATTTGAGGATGTGGGAATTCGGGGGTGTACCGATTAGGGAATCTAAGAATTTGGAAACGGTGGGATTTGGAGGCGTAGCGATTTGGAAACGTAGCGACCTGGGGATATACCGACTTAGCCATGTAAGAATTTGGGAACATAGGAATATGGGGATATAGAGATTCTGAAATATAAGAATCCGCGAATGTAGGAATTCGAAAATACAGAAATTCAGGAACGTAGTGATTCTATTCTTAATAACCACTTCTAAACCATTAGTAGACTAATTATACCAGTTCTTCACCTCAGCCTCTTGTCGCGCCACCCTTTGCCATCGGTAGCCGTATAAGTGCACTTAAAGTGGTGTTTTGAATACTTTTTATCATTCCATTATACAAGATACGAATGTTTAATTGAGCACATGGCACACATGCAATAAAACTGTAAAACTCGTTCTTTATCGGCAGACTTCTTTCGCGTGCGAATAACGTACAATTGACAAGATTGCCTAAGCAGTTGATTGCTGTACGAAGAGCGTATAATCTGAACGTTGCACAAGCTGCGCTACTTTTCATGTGAAAAAAGCGTACGAAAGCATTTCTCCACGATGTAGCCAATTGGATGGTTCAAGATTTTTGTAAATCTCTATGCAAATGCCATACCGTTACGATACATCCTCCGAGTATTTCTGGAGCAAGTTCTTCTTCGTTTCCTGTTTTTCAATTAGAATTTGTATCATCGATTAACTTTAACCAGATAACGTTTTGTCGAACAAAAACGGGATGGACGCATTAGCGTGTAATGAACATCGCGAGTAATGTAATGGAAAATTAAGTATTAGGCTGTGCATGACAAATAATTCATGTCGGAACGTAACAAGCATGACATGATTTCGTTACATAAAATTATCGTGGAATAACACCGATGTGGTATTAGGTTTTTTTTTAAGGCTCCTTCAGGATTTCAAGGTCATTGTGTTTCTTTCGGAACTATATGTTTCGTGTTAGCATAGTCATAGGTGCGCACAATTTGTAAAATTGTGAACTTCCAAGAGTGAAGATTCTTCATTCTTGAAATTTCTAAATTGCAGATTGGTAGAATTTTCAAATTTCAACGGTGAGAAGAATGTTGGCCCTTGAATTTCCAAATTTTACTTCAATTTTTCCAATTTCCAAATAATCGGATTTCCAAATATTCAAATTTGGAAATTCCCAAATTCCCTAATTTCTAAATTTCTAAATCCAAAGATTCCCAAATCCCTAGATTTCCACTTCCTTAGACCCCCAAATTCGCTATATTTCCAAATTCCCCAGAGCAACAAATTCCCTACATTCCCAAATCCCTAGATTCTGAAATTCCTAGATTTCCGATTTCCTAGACCCCCAAATTCGCTATACTTCCAAATTCCCCATAGCCCCAAATTCCCTACATTCCCTAATTCCTAAATTCTCAAATTCCTAGATCCTGAAACCCCTAGATTTCCAATTCCCTAGAACCCCAAATTCGCTATACTTCCAAATTCCCCATAGCCCCAAATTCCCTACATTCCCTAATTCCTAAATTCTCAAATCCCTAGATTCCCCAATCCCTAGATTCTCAAATCCCTAGATTTCCAATTCCCTAAATCCCCAAATTTCCTAGACCCCCAAATTCGCTATATTTCCAAATTCCCCAGAGCCCCAAATTCCCTAGATTCCCTAATCCCTAGATTCTCAAATCCCTACATTTCCAAATCCCTAGACCCTCAAATTCCCTATATTTCCAAATTCCCCAGAGCCCCAAAGTCCCTAGATTCCCAAATTTTCTGGATCTCCAAATTCCTTGGATCCCAAAATCCTTAGATTCCCAAATCCCCAGCTTCCCAAATTCCTATATTTCAAAATCCCTAGATTCCTAAATTCACAAATTTTCAAACGTTGAAATCTCTAATTTCCAAATTTCTTAATTTTCTGAAAAATGATGCTTTACCTTTTCAGACGCAATTTTGTGATTAATAAAATTATTCGAACTAACAATCAACATTCTACTATTTATACAATTTAGCTCTAGTATTATTGAAGCATATAAAACTCTCTGTTTTGAAATTTTCCATATATGTAATAACCCAATAACCTAATGTTTTTTATCCTTATTATAGCATGATGTTCAGACTGTTACTCTTAAATACCGGAAAAGTATGAAAGAATAATCGTGCTGTGTGGAAAAGTACGAAGGAATGAACGTTTCACCAAGGTTTACACAATGAGCATGGAAAACACCACTTTCTTTTATTCGCAAAAACTGAAGAATAAATTTACTGCGATCGCTGAATCAAGTTACGTTTTCTTGCATATTTACGTCAAAACTCGTTATCGTTGAATAAAAATTATTAATACAAAAAGGTTTCGCGTTTTTCCATTAAGAATAATTATTACAGATAACTTTTACAATTTAATACGTTTCCCTTGTTGGATATAAAGTATGACAATTTATAATAATTAGTTGTAACATCTGTTTAGTATATAAACGATAAAGTTTGTGCTTATAATTTTAGAGATTTTTTAAAAACTTGTTTTTACCATTTACTTTCGGTTTAGAAAAAGTAATGCACAGCTAACTACTAGAAATTTCTGACGATCGTGTGTATTAAATAGCCACAGAAAGTATAACGCACGTTAGTTAACTCTATAATTTATAGTGAAAACTAGGAAACAATCAACTTTCAAAATTTCACGAATATTTTCTGAATTTCGTTCGATATCTGAGTCGTTTCACTTCTATGTGCGTATATAAATGCTATTATACAATATTAATGTCCCTGACTCATCACACTTATTTTCATTCCAAGGTTCAACATTTTCATGGCATACTAATTACATTTGCAAAGTTCCACATTTTCTAATTTTGAGGTTTGTAATTTTTCAAATTTTCTTATTTGCAAGATTTCTAAATTTGTTAATTGACAAATTTTAGATTTTTAGGTTTTTCAAATTTTTTAATTTTTAAGTTGTCAAATTGTCAAGTTTTCAAATCCCCAAATTTTCAAATTCTCAAATCCCCAAGTTCTCAAATCCCTAAGTTATCAAATCCCCAAATTCTCAAATCTCCAAATTCTCAAATCCTCAAATTCTCAAATCCCCAAGTTCTCAAATTCCCAAGTTCTCAAATCCCCAAGTTCTCAAATCCCCAAATTCTCAAATCCCCAAGTTCTCAAATCCCCAAGTTCTCAAATCCCCAAGTTCTCAAATCCCCAAGTTCTCAAATCCCCAAGTTCTCAAATCCCCAAGTTCTCAAATCCCCAAGTTCTCAAATCCCCAAGTTCTCAAATCCCCAAGTTCTCAAATCCCCAAGTTCTCAAACCCCCAAATTCTCAAATCCCCAAATTCTCAAATCCCCAAGTTCTCAAATCCCCAAATTCTCAAATATCCAAATTTCTCAATTTCTCAAATGACAAAATTTTCGAACATCCCAAATCCAAAATCCCTCGAATCCCTAAAGTACCACATTCTCGCGTCCTGAAATAAACCCATAATTCTCAAATATCCCAAAAATCCATAAAAATTGCATGCTCCTCTCCCAATTTTCCCAAGAGTACTCTTAACATCAGTAAGACTCCAAATAATATTTCCTAAAAACAACTTGAAACAATATATCTAGGCAAAAATCTAATATTCTCAGTTACAAGAACAAATTACCTATATCGATAGGTATAATCGTGTATCGGTCGGCGGAGCTTCACAAGCGATTCTAAACCGACGCGTGTTTCACACGGCGCGTTCCCTCCACAAACCTCTCGTAAAGACTGCAGCTCCTCGACTGGAGGTGGTTGCGGAGGTGGAGGTGGCTCGTACGATCAAAAGAGAGAAAGAGAGAAGCGAACATTGTCGGAGATCGAGAGAAGGGAGTGACTGCCACTGGCGATGCATTGAGTAGCCACTAAAACAGTCCTCCGGCACTTCGATCCGTTGGCAGAGCTCGTAGCGCGTGCCTGCCGCCTTTTTTCGATCGATCGATCGATCCCGAGAATCGTTTACAGGAAAATTTCGATCGAGATCAAAAATCGAGTGAAACGAATCGCGGAAGAAAGTGCGCTCGTGAACTTCCCGAGATAAAACACCTAACGAAAACACCGAACGAAGAAAAACTGTAATTGAAGCGTCGTAACAATTGCTCCGAAGCGGTTTACCAACAACGGCGAACAATGTTATCTCGCGATTGGCCGTAATTGCTGGAACGACAAGCAATTAGCGTCGGCTGATGTATACAGCGCTGGGTCGATCATTTTTTCTCCAATGACAAGATAGCCGAACGAATGGATCTGTAAGGCCGCGAACTGGAAAAATCGCGTCTCACGCGACCATAACGAGTCACTTCGCTCGCCGGGTAATTACCGCATCGCTAACGGTAATTACTCTCGGTCTGTCCGCCGTTTAATTTGCAAGGTGTAAAGTAACTTGCACTTCGAATCGTCCGTGCACGCTTTCCGATGGTTGAACGCAACGCTCTGTATCTGTGCCTTATTAATTCCATCTTTTCCTATTTTTCTCCGCCTTATCATCGCTTTTTATCGCCGTTCCTTTAAACCTTATCGTGGAAGGCTATCTCGGTTCGGTGAACGGAAATCGTTTCCTCGAAATCACCGTGGCAAGAAATAAAAAAGTCGTCGCAGCACATGAGGACAAAATTGTTCTTTGCCACGAAGCTGTCGAAATTGATCACCTGCTGAAGCTCCTTTCGAGAAGAAAGAATAATTGTGAGAATCCTGTAGATGCAACGTTATCGCGTTTCCCCCAGCAGGCTATCTGCAGCAGACTGTTACAGAAAAAGGAAGAGACGAGTAAGAAAGTTCCTTCCGCGATCGCTTGGGTCCGTTGCGTCCACCGAAGAAACGCATCAAGGGAGTTAATCGATCGCGAACGATAACGGGATCCGCGTGTATCCTGGTGTATACGCGTAATCGTGATTCGACGAAACGCGTAACGAGCTACGCAACCGAACGGTAAACCTACCCCCATGGATTGTGCCGTGGTAACGAGCGTCTTCTTTCACGGAACACTCGACAAAAACTACTATAACGCGATTCTGAGCCGACGAGAAGAGCGATCCGGCGACAGCTTCGCTTCGACGTTGACGAGCTTCTGTGTGCAACGTCTACGTCCCGTGTAATTGACAAAGCCACAGTAATCTGGATTCTGGAATATGACGTGAAAAGGAAGAACATTGTAACCGTGTTTTCTTCTTTAAAGGAGGAAGAGAATTTCATTCGTCGCGGTCGAGTTAAGAGGAACTGTGCTTCCTCGAGGATATTGTAAATCAAAAGACTAATTGAAGCAAATGGCTAACGCAAAATAATTATCTTACTTTATTTTGCTTACGCTGATGATGGATTGTTATTTAAATTTTCGAGGCTGGTGCAATTAAACTGTATTCTTCGTAAGCGAACTGTGGATAAGTTTTATAGAAGTTCGTTCTGGAAGATCAAGGGTGTTCCACGGCTAATCGAGTTTCGACCTAAGATGGGAGAAAAGAAAATGAGGCCTGCATATATTGACATACATTAGCTTTCTTAAGCTGGAATTGAATTTCATGAAAACGTGCAGGTTTATTGTTAAAAACTTCACTCGTTATGCGTGTGGAAATTTGAATATTTTGAAATTTAATGGAGTTGATAACTCTAAGTTATAAATAGACTTTGAAGCTGTGTTTATGGGAAAAGCAGTGACATTTAAAAAGTGTACATCTTGTTAAGTTCAGTGTTAAGTGACTAGTGATCATTTTTAATATTAGAGGAAAAGGTAATTTGAGATAAACGAGTCAGTACAAAATATTTTTAACATTCTTTAATATTTTCGTGAAATTCAAGAGTGCAGACTTCTAAGTTAATTTCTTGTTTTCATTCGACGTGAGTTCATATTTTATTCTTGTCCAGAGTTCAGTTTTTTCTATAAAAAGAAAATAATTTAAAGTATATAAAATGAAAATCTCTGAGATTAGATAGCAGATGAAATATTTGACAGTTTTAAAAAATACCGTGTAAAAGTATAATTATTGCCGAAGTAAATTTCAACTACTCACTCGAAATCGGAAGCTCGTTAAAGTTTCACGCGCAACTTTGAAAGGTTGTACATTATTATTATACACTTCTATATAACGAACTGAACAAGTATTTTTATCGGTAGAAGTAGTGTTATATCAGGTTGAATGCACCGTACCGTGAATTCGTTGTTCGTTATTTCGAAAATAACGGAATTAAAATATATTCGAGACTAGCGATTAATAACTCACTTTCAATTCCGTATCTAGCGTATTAATATTCAACGCTGAATCAGAACACTCGTAAACTGTCCTACTTATAGTTTAGCAAAATTTATATTCAAGACATACATATGCCCGGAATAAGAACAGCTCGGTTGAAATGGATATTAAAGTGAAAACTTAGAGGTAACTGCATTTTGATAAATATGCAGCTTCAGTATCTTACTGTGTGAATATTAATACCTACGGGATTAAGGTTATGCAGTTGGTAATATTTCTGTTTCAATTTTCACTTTCCTCGATGTAAAATTATTTTATTATATTTTCTGTCGTTATTGATTTCTTTAAGCGAGATGCACTTTTTGGTTAATTTGAGAAGTGCTCAGAATTTTTAGTAAAATATTGAAGTACTTCTTTATTACATATTTAGATTTTACAATGCATTAATTCAGAACATCAACGTATGTGTTTTTTGTAATTAATTAGATATAAATATCTGTAGATTTTGAAATTCATGAAATATAGATATCAATATCTACAAATTGTGAAATTCACGAAATATCAATGTTTACAAATTTTGAAATGCATGGAATATAAATATTAACATCTACAAATTTTTAAATTCATGAAATATAAATATTCATGAAATATTCACTCTAAAGAATAATAAAGTATAACATTTAATATTTAAATCTATCATACTGCATCAAAGGTACGACACCTGATTTAATTAAGATTTAAATTGCTACATAAACCGCAATAGAAAAGTGTGGCCTCAAAGGAACGTCTAAACGTTGCATTCAACAGTTCCGCGTCAAAGTTGCACGTAACCACGAGCTTTCGAACAAAGATATCACTCGTTAGCGTAAATATCCTGACTCACACTTTTCCTTTTTTACGTCAGTCTAATTAAACACGATTCGACGAGGAAATCGAAGCAGATTGAGCAAGAGACTGATAAAATACTCATGGTACGCAAGCTTTACAAAAATTTCAAAATCTGTGTTCGAAATTAATCACCGTAATCCAGCCGTGAACATAGTATCACATGCAGCTGCCTAAAAGCTAGCATAAGTGACGATAAGTTTCACTAAAAATCGACGTGACAAACGACAAAGGATTGTCCGATAGTTAGACGTCATCGATAACGCAATCGAAGTATCCTTCAGGTGTATAGGCGCATCCGAACGTGAGTCACGTACACGCATTTTCGATTCGAGGCTTCGAGGACGTGGTACCGTTTGATTCGTCGCATTAGAGCCGGCGATATATCGGCCACCTTCCTCTTGCCGTGTTCTTCGTGCTATCAGATCGAGAATCTCGCGATTCTCACGGGCCAACAGCTTCGATTGTGTTCCAAGTTTCTTCGTATGTGACGTCGCACGCAAGCCCCCAGAGATGCTGAAGATACGCATGCTGGATTACATCGGGGACACTGGGTGAGTGTTACGATACCACGCGTTACTGCTGTCTTTTATATTTTCGCGCGTGAATGAATACTATCGCGTCAAAGTAAATATTTATCTTTTGTGGGTTTTGAAAATTTGGTAATTTTGGATTTTGGCAGAGTGGTTTTAAAATTTGGAAATTTGGGAGTATAGGAATTTAGAGTATTTGTGGAATTTAGGGAACTTGGGTAATTTGGGGAATTTGTGGAATTTAGAGAATTTTGGGAATTTAGGGATTTGATAATTTGGGAATTTGGGGATTTAGGAATTTGGGAGTTTGGGAATTTGGG